CTTGACCAAACTATCCAGTGAAGATATCCAATCTGGAAACTTCTCCATACGCCCTGCCAAGTACAATCGTTGAAGAAATTGAGGAGGCGATGCTAAGTAGTCCAGATCAATAATCTCGCTTTCTGTGATTGAAGTAACAGACAAGGCACGAAGATTCGTCAGCCTTTCAATAGAAGAACAGAGAGCCTTTCCATGTTTTTTCTTCAACTTAACAATTCCTAACCTTCTCAACTGTTTCAATCTTCCCAGTTCAAACATAAGATTCCTGCCTTGATGTGCCTCTACGAAGCAAAGCTTTTGTATGGATTGTAGACCTCCAATATGAGCTGGTGCCTTGAAACCGTATTTGGTGGGGATCCGGTCATCAGAATCAATTTCATAGCGATACACCAAGAGGTAGCAAAGTTTTCGGAGCTTCCGAATCTCAGCAGGCAATACAGAAACTTGGGCATGTTTCAGATCCAACGTCTCAAGATTCTTAAGCTTGCTAATGGAACTTGGAATGAAACTCACTGTGGTATTCCTCAAACTTAAATATTTTAAGAGGAAGAGGCTTACAACTTCATTAGGAAATTCTTTTAGAGGTGCACCTTCCAGATCCAGCACGTGAAGCAGCCTGAGACGACCAGAAAATAAGTTGTGCACAGGAGACTCATAACTGCAATCTGCCCCCCAGAATGTCAGCAATGAACGAAATCGAGAGGCAACATGTCTTTGCTGTTTACTTGGCATGACATTATGTATCGACACACGACGAACCTTTTCTGGCCATATCGTGCCTTCTTCCTTAGCAATTGCCACAAAGTCCTGATCCTTTGCCTTTGCAATCATAATCTCGCGCAGGAGGTCATGGACGCGGCATGTTTTGACCCGTCCATCACTGGTTGCCTTAACCACTTGAACCAAGCTTCTCTTCATGAGCTCATTCAGGTAGTCTTGTGCAACTTCCTCTACTGTCATTCCTTCTTTGCCTTTCACAAATCCTTCAGCTATCCACAATCGAATAAGCCTCATACGCTTGATTCGATTACCCACAGGGAAGATGCTGAAATACAACAAACAAGATTTGAGATAGTAAGGCAAATCATTGTAACTGAGTGACAGTATTTTTCTTGCACTCATCAGCATGTCATTTTCTTCTAATCCAGCACCGAGGCTAAGATGTACCATTTCCCATTCGTCTGTTTTACTCTTGTCCTTTGTTGCCAGAACACCACTAATTGCTACAATTGCAAGCGGCAATCCCTCACATCTACCCAAAATTGTTTCTGAAACATTCTTCAAATGTGGAGGGCAAGGGTTATCCTGAAATATCTTTTTGCAGAACAAAGTCCAAGATTCTTCTTGAGACAACGGATTTAAAGGGTAGACTTTGTCGGGGGAATCCACGCATGAAGTGGAGGCAACTTCAGTATTACGTGTTGTGACTAATATCCGACTGCCACAGATGTTGTTCGGCAACGCATGCTGGAAAGCACGCCAAGCACTTGTGTGCCACACATCGTCCAGGACAATCAGGTATTTCTTCTGTCGGAGGAATTCATGGATGACACTCCTTAGCTTATTATAGTTCATGCTGTCCACACCTTTTGGATCTGGTTTCCTGTGAACACGGAAGAGCTGTTGAATCATGTCTTTTAAGAGGTCCTCTCTCTTAAAAGATTGAGATACAGTTATCCAAGCACGGAACTTGAAGTGTTTCTTCACGTCTGAATCATCGTAGACCTTTTTGACCAAGGTTGATTTTCCCAAGCCTCCCATTCCGACCACAGAAATCACTTCACGTCCTGATTTACTTCCAAGAAGCCACTCGATCAGCTGCTTTTTGGGTTTTTCAATGCCCACCAGATCAGCTTCTTCTAGTAGAAGGGCATCCTTTTGACATTCAAGCCTAGGGATGCTGATGGAGCTTGATCCTTGAATCATTATATTATTTTTATTGCAGTATCTCCGATGTGACTCTGAGATACTGATCACTCGAGACTTGATGCTTTGAATTTTTGAGGCAATACGACGCCGTGCTCTTGCATCTTTAATAGAGCGAGAGATTTTCCTGAAACAGGAAAAAAACCCGTGCCCGGTATCACTTGCAAGGGAGAGGCTGAAATTATCGAGAGCATCCTCCGTGTCATAAGCTGCATCTCTCACTTTCTTGATCAAACATCTTAGAACAGGATCACCGTCTTCCATCGCATCTGCAAGTCTTAGGAATGCTGTCATGAACTCAAGTTCATCACTGATATACTCTGCTTCACCCTGGACTCCTGCCAGTTGTTTTCCCCTTTCTGCGAGGAAGTCTCCGAGCTTGGTGAGTAAAAAAGTAACCACGCCCTCAGACATGGATGGTGTTTTTAGCTTTCCAATTAGTGTTTCTGAAACTCCAGGGAGTGCAATAATGGTGTTTGGAGTTGGGGTTGGCCTTTAACTTTCGAAAGTTAACTCTACATAATGGCATTGCATAGATATATATGGTGAATCTGAATGAGCACTTCCTTCATGAAAATGATTTTTAGTAGCCAATGAGATGTTTTCGTAAGAGGGTAGGCCACTTCCAATCACCATCAGCTAGGCTAATCTATAATTGCTGTCTACATAGTTTACTATTTCAATCTCTAGGCAACTTCTCTGCAATCGCGTGTCCATCTGTCTAACCAATGCCTTCCTTTTCTAAACAAGGAAATTCCTTCTATCTCTCCGGGATGAAAGGAAAATTAATAATTGTTTTTTTTTTCCCGATGTAATTTCAGCAAAGAAACTTAAAAAATTTGTTATTTTCCTCTCAGAAATTTAACAACCTGCTGTCATCTACAATTGGATATTTATGCCCATTTTAAATAAATTCTAGTCAAAGAAAGTTAATTTTAAATATTAAAATAATTTTTTTAAAGTAAAACCCCTATGTATTGATATATTAAGTATAAAAAAAATATTTATTAATATCTTGTTTAAGAGGTATTCAACAGATATATAAATTTAATGAGAGTTTGTTTATCTGGATAGATTAATGAAAATTGAATGATAAATATCTTGTTTTGTGGAATTTGAATTTTTTTTCTATCTTAACACTTTGATTACTAGGGACTAGTAATAAACTGGTTGGGGGGGGTGCAATTAGTATTTAAAAGTGCATTTTGGGATCCAGACCAGTGATGTATTGATAATTACTCATAGGAGGCTAAACACATTGACACAATATTTAACGTGGTTCGGCAAATCCCCTACATCCATAGGAGATGTCTATATTATTAGAGATAGAGAAAGAATACAAAACAAATACATAAAGAAGGAGGATCATATCCACTCTAACTCGACTCCCAACTCATAAACACTACTGCCCATGACAACCCTCTCTTTCTCTCTACTCTCTTACACACACTCACCACTCTTTCTCATTTTGCTTTCAAATAATGCCTCTATTTATAGGCATCAATGGTAAGACAAGATCCACAAATCATGACATGATTTGTGGCACTAATGGTGGCAGCACATAAGTTGCACCATTTTGTCAATGGTTTGTACAACTTGGCTACACACCTACCATTGTAGGCTTTTGACAATAACAACCCTACTTTTTGAAGCTGTAAATGATTACTGCACATTAATGACAACAATCCTAACAATCACCTCCTTTGCCATTCATGTGGGCAATTGTTCTCTTGCTTCTTCAGTATATGCTTGTATCCTGCAACTTTTCCAACCTTACCATTTCGAGAGCATCTTTGGCCAAGTTTACAAGTACTCGCCAAACCTTTCAATCACCAGAGTTATCAAAGCACACCCTTGCTCACACTAAAGGATCACTTCAACAAGATGGTCTCCCATATCACATAGTGTTAACGCTTGTCTTTGGGACACAACATTCCCCTTCGAGCGTATCAACCATGCTCAGTCCAGAATGATTTATCAAGCCTCACACCAAGGCTTACAACACCCCCTCAAATGAAAATTTCTCCTTCCAAGTGCGATAGTCTATCTAAGTATCTCAATATGATCATGAGCTTAACACTCTTTTAAGAGTCTACTCATCTTGGAGTTGCATTTGCCCTCTGTTCCACCCTAGAAATCATGCCTTACTTCTCCATGAGTCTCTTGCTCTTAGTCTAATAGTCCAGGTAGCTCTCCACCTTTAATTATAGGGGAAACCTATTAAAGGTTGATCCATATCTGTCTTTATACTCTGAGTATTACAATGTCATCACCGAGCTCACCACCTTGAGAAAAGTCAACTTGTTCCAGGAACCTGCGCATGCCCTGTGCTCCTACATAGCAGTTGTGTCTTAATGCTCTATAAGTCACCCACTTATTGTCTAAGGCAAATGTCTTTTTGCTCATTGATCTTTAGCATGAGGGCAATATCCATAAAAGTCAATCCTACATTTGTCTCCATACTCATCATAGCCACTTCCTTGGCTATCCATCTGTCCACTCATATCTAGCCATCACATCAGCTTTAGGGGCGTTCTATAATTGAGGCTTCTATTACGGCCCTCACACCTTCTCCTGAGGTGTCTTCGCTCATCGTCATGCGGCGGTCTGATCTTGAACTCATCTCATGGCCCTCACACCTTCTTTTTAAGGTGTCTTCTCCTTTCATAGGCGGTCACATCCTCCTTCAGCTAAGATGCTTCAAAGTGGCTCCAAAATTCTTCACCACCATGTGGACTTATGAGAGATTATTACTGCCACAGATCACATAGAAAGAGAGAGTTGCGGTTCATTCCTTACAATCTTCCATCTCGATTTCTATGTTTGAAGCTTTTTACATATTTCTGCTTGACAGCTTCACCTACACCAGCTCTCTTTGGTGTCTTCGCCTTTCATCATAGGCGGTTTATCACGACCCAAATCTTGGATCGATGACTGGCATATAGGTAAGGTTTCTCTCCAAGGTTCCATATCTATGCGAACCCAAACTTACACACAAACTTCTACTAACTCAATCAGAGTTCAACACAACAATATTAACAAAATTAACTTCATAATATAATTTGATTGTCTTAATACAAGAGTTCATATAATTTTATAATTTTGAAGCGCTAACTAGACATAAAAGAAGGTACAAATTACTACTAAAAGAACAGGTTTTGAAGGTTCAACAAAAGTAACCTATTATCAAATTATAAGCCTGAAAAGGATAAATGATGAGAGGGTGAGTTCAACAACTCAGTGAGTAGATAACATTCAATATACACATATGAGGTAATATAACAAGGATGAATATATATACAATTATGGCTTTAAGTTCTTATAGAAAGGTTTCTTAAATAGGCCATAACAAGAAAATCACATGGTAAAACTCGTCAGAAAATCAAAATTCAATAAGCATGAGGCTCTGTACTGTGGGATGATTAGTCCACACATGTTGGTGACTCCCCCAACCAACTAGGGTTCATACACGATGTGCACAAAATACTAACTACCCTGTTAGCATAGGTATTCTGACTGAAATCTATAGATTCATAATCATAATTAAATAGACATATTTATATCTCAAGGCTCAACTCATAACATCAATCAAATAAGGAGTATCAATTTAGAAGTTAATTCAAATATATATTGGTTCATATCAAGAATTTAGATTCAACAATTGATCATATTTTATCATAATAAGGATAACAATCAACATATATATTATCAAGAAGCATGATCCAATTCATATTAATAAATCAAATATTTATAATATTTTTCATGCATATGAAAAATTATCCTCTCACCTAACTCAAAAGCAAATAGAAGTCAAAAGCAGACACTGAAAAAAATCTTACTAACGTCCCATCGGTAGAATATCAGGATTATCTGAATACAAATGATATATATTCAAGAATTTTTTGAAAAAATATTTAACCTATTTAATACACTTAATTAAGGGTGTATTCTACAACCCTATATGTTTTTGAACTAACAAGTCAATTTTCTCAAAAATTCAAAATTTAACGGTTTTTACGAAATCTAATTCATAATAAAATAAATAATAAAACTGATAATAATTCACTAAATAACCCTTAATTATTTATCAAACCAATATAAAAAAAGCTAATATTACAGCTAGGAATTAATATGTAATTTATCATATTTTTAAGGGTCAAATTGTAACTTTTGTCAAATTAAAGGACCAAACTAAAAATATCATAAATTCATGACTATACTTAAATTCTGATCATAATATCTTATTATGCTCCAGGGACCATTCTGTAATTTTCTCCAAATTTTTGGGGTCAAATTGTAATTTTTGTCAAATTGGAGGACCAAATTAAAAATATCATCAATCCATTACTATACTGGAATTATGACCATATTAAATCCTAAATTCTGTCTAGAACATCTCATTATGCTCTAGGGACCATTATGAAAATTTTCTAAATTTTTAGGGTCAAATTGTAATTTTTGTCAAATTGAAGGACCAAAGTGAAAGTGTTAAAATTTCATAACTATACAAGAATTCTGCCCATAATTCATATTATATTCTGTTCAGAATCTCGGAATATGCTCCAGGGACCAATTTGTAAATTTTCCAAAGTTTGGGGACTAAACAATAATTTTTGCAATTTGAGGGACCAAACTGAAATTTTGTCATCTTCAACCTCCATCCCAGAATTTTAACATAAACCTACTGTTACTTCCAGATTTCTAACTCAATTTCACAATTTACACAATTTACAATTCAAAATTATCACAATCTTTCATAATCAACTGAATAATCAATTACTCCCAACAATTAACCCCTAACATTCAAATTAATTCATCATTTAAACCCAAAACATAAATTTTTAAAACCCTAACATTCATCAAAACTGAGATTTAAAGCTAAAGAAAACATATTATACCTATTAAAGCATAAATATTACCCTTTTAACTTATTTTCTTCAATTCCTTTCTATTTCCCTTCTAATTTCTCTCTTCTCTTCTTCTTGCTCTTTCCCCCTCTTCTCTCTCACGGTTTGCTCCTTCAATTTTCAGATCACTCTTTAATTTTTTTTAACTTCCTATTTATATTTATCATCTCTTTATTTAATTACTGCTATACCCCTTATTTAATCATACTTTCTCTTTAAGCCTCCAAGGGTTTTATTGCCTGTTCCTACTCTTTAATACAAAACATTACATGGTCACACCCCCTTAATTAGGTGCTTCTACAACAGCTTATTTTTCCATTCTTGCATGCATTGGAAGGTCCTCACCTGTTGCCTTTATCAAGAACACAAGGGATTTCTCGTTGCACCTGTTGTCTTATTACAGTACTTCATTGAATCCTACGGGTACTCTTGCACAATCTCCATGTACCCTCGTGTAATTTTTATTCTTCAGATTCTCCCTATTCCTTGCTTATGTTTGATAGTAGCTTATCCTGTTACAATACCTATTCAAGTCAAAATAGGGTGCCAATCTTTATTCCCTTGCTGTATTTCTCTTCCATTATCAGGGTTTTCATCAATTCTACCCTTTAAAAAATCACAGTCACCGAATCTAACTTCTTTGGAGAAATCACCACTTCATCATATCCTTGATCATACGGAACCCAAGTGTTCATTTGTGTCGTCATCCTGCTAGTCTTCAATAGTTTCATTACAAACTGTTACATATACAAAAATAGTATCGTATGGATAATCCTTCAACTAAGCAAGTTCCCAAGAAAGATTGGAGGGGTCACAACGGTCTCGCTTAAAATCCAATCTCCTAGCCATAACTTCTTAGGTCATATCTATCCATCGTACTGTCTTTTCGTATATATAGCCATTTGTTAGCTTTGTTGCAGCTTTCCTTTACAAGTGATCTGGGGTATCCTGGTTTTATACCTGATTTTTCAACATCTAGCGAGACTACTAGTGCTTAGATTCGTTAAGATTGGTCTTCATCAATTTCCACTCTCCACCTCAAATCGTTCACATGATCGGGTGTCTAGAGTGTTCCAACTTTGCCTTCCCTCAAGACAATTAAAATTCTCCACATAGCAGTTCAACACATGTAATTGGGTAAACATGTGCGATTTCTTCTTTTTCACCTCCATCGACCACCATGATGACCTTTAGATACCTCCTGATCGGGCAATCTTTTTTTTTTTAATTCACCACCACCAGTTTCGATCACAATCTCAATGATTGGACCATAATATTGCATCCAAAACGATCAAATTAGCAGAAACAAGTCTAAAATAGTCCAAATCGCATTTCATACAGCTGAGATTTGATCAAAACAATTCTGGCCTGATAAACGATCCAAATTCAATCTCAGATCCGGTTGCACGTAGGATCAGATCCTGAGAATGATGTTGTAGGTATGGCTCACTATGGCTGACGTGTCTGCTGACTATGCGTTGACATGGCATGCCACCTTTGCATGCCGATGCCATGATGACATCATCCTCATCCAGATTAGGCACATGGGTCGAGTCATCTGGTATTCGGGTTTGGTCAGCCTATTAGAGAGAAGAAGATGTGTGCGATGCGTAGCGCACGTCTGCGCGTGTGGCCAGCCACCTCGTTGGCGTGTGGGGGCGCGTGTGGCCATGTCCAACATCCTATTTCTACGCGGTTTTCACTAGTGGCTTCTTCTCTTTCCCCTCTACACAGCAGTATGGTCAAATCATAATTTTAACAATTTTTATTTTTGAGCAAAATCAAACACCACTTTAAGCCATATACTCTAATACTAATTGTTGGAAATCCAGAACGATGATGTACTTACAATTGCTCATAGGAGGCTAGGCACACTGACACAATATTTAGCGTAGTTCGGCAAATCGCCTACATCCACAGGAGAGGTTTATATTATTAGAGAAAGAGAAAGAATACAAAACAAATACATAGAAGAGGAGGATCATATCTACTCTAACTCAACTTCCAGCTCACAAACACTGCTGCCCATGACAGCCCTCTCTTTCTCTCTACTCTCTTACACACACTCATCACTCTCTCTTATTTTGTTCTTAAATAATGTTTCTATTTATAGGCATAAATGATAAGACAAAATCCACAAATCATGACATGATTTGTGGCAGTAATGGTGGCAACACATGAGTTGTACCATTTTGTCAGTGGTTGGTGCAACTTGGCTACACACTTACTATTATAGGTTTTTGACAATGACAACCCTATTTTTTAGGGTAGGCTGCAAATGATTACTGCATATTAATGACAACAATTCTAACACAGGGATGAAAAAAAATTAATAATTGTTTTTTTTTCCAATGTAATTTCAGCAAAAGAAACTTCAAAAATTTGTTATTTCCCTCTCAGAAATTTAAGACCCTGCTGTTGTCAGATACAAATGGATATTTATGCCCACCTTGCTGAATGTAAAGAGATGAGGTGGTTGAGTGTAAATCCTGCAAAGTATTATCTAACCAGCTAGATGGTTGCGACATTAGCTGTTTAAATTAATGTAAAACCTGTCCAAGACAAACAATCTGACGCCAACATGAAGGTTTTACAATCAGCTCTAGCATATAAATATTATAATTATGGGGTGGAAAACGACCGGCAATACGTGCATCGAGGAGTAAATTAAAGATAAGATTAGAAAAATGAAAGGGTTATTCTAGCTGACTCACCATTGTTAGGTAATATCTAATAAAATAGCCAACCCCAAGTTGAGCTGACGCTGCTTGCTTTCAGCCAGTGACACGATGCTGTGTCACATGTAGACGATACTATAATAGATTGCCGGGGTGTTTGACACGGTTTTCTGTTTCTGTTTCTGTTTCTTTTTCTATTTTTCAGAAGTGTTTTTTGGCTTGAAAAAAATAAAAATAAAATAGATGTTTTTTTAGTGTTTTCTGCATCCCTGTACAGATAACAAGGTAACACGTGCTTTCTCTGCATATATAGTTGATAAATCTGTAATTCTGAAGTGCCAAGCAGTATTTACCATTTGATGACAAGGAGTTTGGTTTGGATACTGGTATCCCAATTGCAAGTTGGCATGCTGTTTTCAAACTGAAACTTATTTAAGTGATTTCCTTCGTTTTTCCTTGTAGGTTATTTCACTCCTCATCTAGGCACACGTAACTCCATAAACACATCAGAACCTAACACCATGGACTGACCTCTAGAGAGCAAGCGGCACATGGGAGTTGAATTTACTCGTGTCGGCATTTGGTGCGTGGGCTGGAGGTCATGGACTTTACTTTTCATCTTGTGTTCTATTGTCTCTTCTTGTCCTACCCGGCCTTTATCCAGTTTCATTAGCACATCAAGCACATATTACATAGATGGAAGCCAAAGAAAGTGCTTGGTCTACCTAAACTAAGCTACTGAAATCCCTTAGATTTTGAAAAGAATAGCTCTTCATCATAGGATTGAAAATCTGGATTGTTGCTTCCATTTAGGAGTGTTTTTTTTTTTTTTTTGTGTTAAAATGAAAATTTGTCACTATGCTGATTTCAGAGTTCTGCAAGTTTCGAATGGTGTTTATCTCTTCGAAGCTGCAAACGCAGAATTTCCTGCCCTTGGAACTCTTTTTATTTTGGATTATGATTTTTCTTTGTTTGGTTGGTTGTGAGCTATCTTCCCTTTTGTGGTATGTTCATAAACATCATAGTTTTTGTAAGGAAAGTTTGATCACATTCATTAAAAAAAATAAAAATGCTTTCGTTAATTTACAATCAACTTCGCAACATCATAGTTTTAAGGAAATTATGCAACCTCTAGCATCTATCACAAAATTACAGATGCAAATCATGGCTTCCAATCAGGTTGCCTTTTCAAAAGAATGTTTGGTCTTGCATAATTGAAGTAGATTTCCCAATTGCCATTTTTCTGATAGGTGCAGTAAATCTCAGGCACATTTCGAACCTCATGGTAATCTTCACCGTCTCCATCCGGATGGAGCCTCCTGATGAAATCGTTGGGCAAATCAAATGGAAGAATCTGCAATATTTTAATGAATTGGACAACCGGCTTTTGGAGAAAAGTCCTGGCCGCTCTCTGTGCAGTTCCATCAGGCCGTAGCCTCTTGACAAAATCATACGGCATGTCAAAAAAATCAAGTGCTTTGAGCTTAGCGAGGTGTTTGATTCCAGAGGGCACCTTCTGCAGTAGTTTACAACCCTGGACAACTAGCTTCTCGAGAGAAGGCAATGCTCCCTTCTGCACGGTAATAGATTTGAGCCTTTCTAATTTGTTTAGACCCAAAACTTTAAGCTTTTTGAATCCGTCATGACTGAAATGCAGTGCTTCGCCACTATAAACTTGTATAAATTCAAGGTGCACCAGATTAGGCAAATTCTGAAGAAATAGCAGCGGATCTTCACGTAAGCGACTCCATTTTAAAACCAACTTGACCAAACTATCAAGTGAGAGTATCCAGTCTGGTAACCTCTCTAAACGTCCTGTCAAGTATAGTCGCTGAAGAAATTGAGGAGGAGAAGATAAGTACTCCAGATCAATGACCTCGCTCTCTGTTATTGAAGTAACAGACAATGCACGAAGGTTCGTCAGCTTATCAATAGAGGAACATAAATCCTTCCCATCTTCCTTCCGGAACTTTAGAATGCCTAACCTTCTCAAATGAATCAATCTTCCCAGTTCTGACATAAGTTTCTGGCCTTGGTCTGCTTCTAGGAAGCAAAGCTTTTGTATTGAAAGCAGATTTCCTATCTGAGCTGGTGCCCTGAAACCGTGTTTGTTGCGAATTTGATCATCGGACTCGGTTTCATAGCTATACACTAGCAGGTGGCGAAGCTTTTGGAGCTTCAGAATGTCAACAGGCAACTCAGTGACTTGGGCATGTTTCAAATCCAAACTTTCCAGGTTCTGAAGCTTGCTAATTGAGCTTGGAACGGAATTCACCATGGTATTTGTCACGGGGTTAAATTTTTCGCAACACAATTCAACCCAATGCGGCAGTCTAGTCCCAACTAAACTCAGCCTTGCCTCCCCTTTTC